AAGATATGCTAAACAGGTCTTCCTTTTTGGTTGTCTAGCTCTAGGTCTTTTCAAATTTCATTATAACATCTTATTATGTCTTCTATTGTTTCCCGTTGAAATCTTCTATTCAGCTCATTGAGTTTATCATTTCTTCCTTTGCCTTAGCTACTCCACACTGAAGAGCAGGTTTCAAAGCCTCTTCTGACATCTACTTTAATCTTTTCTTTCTTTCTTGTCTTTTAAGTGACTGTTGGCTTTCTTCATGGATTACGCTCTGGATGTCATCCCACAGCTCACCAAGCATCTATCCCAAGTGTTTACTGCCTGAAATATGTTCTTGCCATGTTACCAGAATTTAAGTGGGATAGACTCATGGTCATATTTAGGCTCTTATGGGATTCTTTCAATTTTCTTCAGATTCAACTTGAACTTCCAGATGAGCAATTGATGATCCACAATCAGCCCGTGGCCTGGTTTTACCTGCTGATAGTGAACTTCTCCACTGTCTCTTCCCACAGATGTAATTCGTTTGATGTCTGTATGTTCTATTTGGAGAACCACAAGTGTGTAGCCACCTTTTGTATTGTTGATAAAATAGAAGAGATTGATAAGGTCATTTCAAAGTCCCAATAAAAACGCAACAAGAGCGAGATGACGTCACTGGAGACTGCTGTCACGCAATCAGTGAAGAGAGGACACACATTCAACACGATATTTTCAACAATAGAGGACAACAAACTACCATTCATTTTATGCAATGGGAATAACATGGATTTAAAAAAAACAGGCAAAGTTATTATCAAGATAAAAAACTATAGACCTATATGATCATTGATGCAAACATTCTTAACAAACACCTTGCAAACATAATTCAACAATCTGTCACAATCATAATATACCAGATCAAGTGGGATGAATCCCACGCGGGATGAATACCAAGCTCATAAGGATCATTCAACATTAGAAAACCAGTTAAAGCAATTCACACACACACACACACACACACACACACACACAAAAGCAAAGAATAAGTTTCATCACCATATCAATTGATGCAGAAAAGACATTTGACAATATCCAACACTCATTCCTGATTTTTAAAAATGAGCAAAAATAGGAATAGAAGGGACATTTCTCATCAAAATAAAGGTCATATATGACATAAAAGTCAATCAGATTTCTGTACACTAATTAAAAAGGGCTTTGAAAAATATAAAGGAAAACAATATCACTTGCAATAGCCACACAAGAAATGAAATACTTAGGAATATACCTACCAGAAACCAAAGATTTGCATATAGAAAACTATAGAACATTATTACAAGAAGCCAAAAGAGACCAACTTAAATGACACAATATCCCATTTCATAGAGATAAAGGCTGAATATTGTGAAAATGTCACTACTATCCAAAGTATTCTATACATCCAACACAATTCTGATACAGATTCCAAACTTCCTCTTCAAATAAAAGGGAAAAATAGTTATTAAATTTATTTATAGTTGTAAGGCAATTATGCATGTGGATTTCTCCAGATGGTATATACAGAAATCAAATTGACTACATCTATCCAATGAGATATTAGAAAAACTGAAGGTATTTAAGAAGACATGAAAGAAAGATCAAGGTAGAGGTCAGAAAGGCTCTGGAAATTCCTCTCAAGCTAGACTGGCTAAGGCAAATGGAAGAAATGAAGACTCCAAAGATCTGCTCAGGAAAGGAAGTCAAATATTGTAATGAAATGTGCCAAGACTTAGAGTTAGAAAACCAGCAGGGAAGAATACATCCATCATAACTTAAACAAAAAAACTCCAGAAAATATTCAATCCTCAAATTACAATCTTGAAAGATTCTATCAGCAAAATATTGAATTATAGCAAGGGGCATCAAAAGAAGATGGAAAGAATACAGTCACTGTATCAAAAGGAACTAGCTGACATTCCACTATTTCAGAATATCGCATACGAGCACAAGCCAATCATGCTGAAGGAAGAGGTTCAAGCTGCACTGAAAGCATTAGCTCCAAACAGGTTCAGAAATTGATGGAATACCAATTGAAATGTTCCAACAAGCTGATGAAGCATTGGAAGCACATACTCATCTATGCCAGAAATTTTGGAAGACGGCTATTTGATCAACTGACTGGTAGCGATCAATGTTTGCACTCTTTCCAAAGAAAGGTGACCCAACAGAATGTTCACACCATACAAAAATATCATTGATATCACATGAAAGTATAAATTTGTTGAAGACCATCCCACAAAGATTGTAGCAGTACCTTGACTGGGCTCTCAGAGGTTCAGGATGGACCCAGCAGAGAACATGGAGCAAGAGATATCATTGGTGATATCAGATGGATCTTGACTGACAGCAAAGGATACCAGAAAGAAATTTACCTGTGTTTTACTGGCTATGCCAAGGCATTTGACTTTGTGCATCATAACAAACTAAGGATAGCTCAAAGAATAATAGGAATTACAGAACAACCCATTGTTTTCATATGGAATTTGCACATGGATCAATAGGTAGTAGTGCTTACAGAACAAAGGAAAAATGCATGATTTAAAATCATCAAAGTTGTGCAAAGGGGTTGTATCCTCTCACCATCCTTATTAGATCTGAGCAGAAATATTTGTTGAATATATAATCAGAGAAGTTGGCTTATATGAAGAAGAATGTTGCATCAGGATTGCAGGAAGGCTTATTAACCTTTGATACGTAGATGATATACCCTTGCTTGCTGAAAGTGAGGAGGACTTGAAGCATTTGCTGATGAAGATTGAGGATTACAGCCTTTAGTATTACAACAAATATAAAGAAGACCCAAATCCTGACAACTGCATCAGTAGGTAACATCAAGACACATGGCAAAAAGGTGGAAGTTCTCAAGGATTTTGTCTTCTTTGGATCCACAAGCAATGCTCATGGAAGCAACAGTCATGATATCAAAAGCCTAGTTGCACTGGGTAAATATTCTTCTCAAGATCGCTTTAGAGTATTGAAAAACAAGGATGGTACTTTGAGGACAAAGGTGTTCCTAATCCAAGCCATAATATTTTCAGTTGTCTTATATGCATGTGAAAAATGGACATTAAATAAAGAAGACTGAGGATGAATAGATTCATTTGTATTGTGGTGCTGTAGGAACTACTGAAGGTACCACTAGCTTCGAAAAGGACCAGTTGATCTGTCTTGGAAGAAATACAGCCAGACTGCTCACTAGAAGCAAGGATGGTGAGATTCTGTCTTGCATACTTTGGAGATGTTGTCGGGAGAGATCGGTGCCTGGAGAAGGCCATCATGTTTGCAAAAGCAGAGGAGCAGCAAAAAAAAAAAAGGAAGTCCCTCAGGGACTTGGAAAGACACGATGGCTTCAAAAATGGGCTCACGCCTAGGAGCCACGCCTAGGAGCAATAGTGAGGGTGGTGCAGGACAGAGCAGCATTCCCTACTTTTGTGCATAATGTGGGTAGGGGTTGGAACGGACTGGATGGCACTTAAAAACAGCAAATCTATTTGGAGAGGGAAGAGACCCAAGACACACAAAGAGTTTCTTAAGGAAAAGAACAAAGAAGCAGCCCCCCACCCCCAACCACCACTTCTTGATTTCCAAACCTGTTACACAACCACAGAAGTTAAAATAACCTGCTGCTGGGACAATGATAAATACACAGACCAATGGACTAGAAAACAGAGCCCACAAATAAATCCATCCACCTACAGACAACTGATCTTTGACCCCCCTCAACAAATAAACAAACAAATAAATAAATAAATGGGAACTAGTCTTGCCAACAAATGGTGGTTACAAAATGGAATCTTCGTCTGCAGAAGAAACATACAGGGTCCAAACCTCAAGCCATGTACAAAAACCAATCCAAGATGTATTGAAGACCTAAGTATAAATCCCAGCACTATGAAGATCATCAATGAGAAAATAGAGACTAACTTAAGCACGCTAATGAAGGGCATAGACACGCTATGAAACACAGCAAAGGAACCAGGGTACATTACAAAATAGATGACTCGGACCTACTAAAAATAAAATGCATGTATCAAAATATTTCATCAAATGGTGAAGAGAACTCATAATATGGAGGGAATTTTTTTTTACTACAACTGATCTCTAAACTCTATAGAAACTTACAACATCTCAATTAGAAAAATTTAATTAAATTAAAATTTTATTAAATTATTTTAGTTTAGTTTAAAACTTAAAAAGTGGCTAAAGGATATGGACAGTTCACAAAGGATGGCATTCAAACAATGAGTAACCACATGAATAAATTCTCACAATCTGGGGAATGCAAATCCATAAAATGATACTACCTTACACAGTACGGACAGAAAAGTTAACAAAAACAGAAAATAGAAATTCTGGAGAGGCCATGTAGAACCACTGTAAAAATCATTTACCTCAAACATTTAGGAATAAAAATCCGATATAATGCTGCAATCCCTGTGATTGATGTATATCCTAAAGAGTAACAGTCAAAACACAAACATACATATGCACCCCCATGTTTATTGCACCACTGTTTTCAATAAAAAGAAGATGCGAACAGCCTAAATGTCCATCAGTAGAAAAATATAAAAATACCCGATGGTACATACGCATGATGGAATACTAGGCTGTGTTAAAAAAAAAAACCCAAAATAGATGCAAATGGGAAGCACCCCAAACACCCAGAGGCTCGTCAGAAACAGTATTTCCAGCTGCTTCCAAAAGGTTACAATCTTGAGAACTTGGGAGGCAATCCTAGTCTGCGTACATGAGATCTTTTTGAATTGATATTCACTCCAGGGTAAATAGCCAGAATAACAACAATGGACAGCTCGCATTTAGTCTGTTCAGTGTCCATTGTTCAAGTACATCAGAAGTTACCTTAAACTGTAAATAGCTTATAGCAATATGAAGTATCTAATGTCTGTATGTGAAGGTATTTACTAGGAAATTACATATAAAATTCCAATGCTTAAGTTTCCACATAAAATCAAAGGTAAAATAGCAACACTTACATTTTTTCCTGTCCATCCATTCCTCTAGTTCTATGAAGTTTACAATTTGTCGTGTCCTCCAAAGGCCAAGTCGATATCTAACACGATGGATTGCTCGGCGATACATATCTAAAACTGATTTCAAACTTGGTCCATGATATAAAGCCTAAAAAATAATAATATAGGAAGTAAGGACCCTTATATATTTCCATTCATTTTAATCTGATGTTGCCTCTTCCCGTTCGTCCTTGACCTGATTTCTTAGATCATAGATGTATTTATTATTGTTTTGTAGGGTGACTAGTTATACACAATAATTAATATATTCTCCCTGAAGTTTCAGAGAACCACAGACATGAACTGTTTTAGCATTAGATTTGTAACCTGCACATACATTAGAGATTTTAATGATATATCATCTTATAGAAATTTCATAGGGGTATGGCTAAATTTCTATAATATTCTGCATGACAAAAAGTGTCCTATTAGAATATTGTTAAATAATGGATAATTATTCCTTATGCGGTCTACTCTGAGAACACAGCATTTTAAGAAAAGTTTTTAAATAGAAATAACGTCTAATTACAGTGGTAGATAGATCTTATGTCAACTTGAATTTGTATGAAAGTGTAGGGGTGGAATCAAACATGTCAGTTAGGTAACAACCTGATTATGCCTCATTGGGGGTGTGGTTTTCTTATAAGGGAGAAACTAGAAACCTCTCTCCCTCTTTCTGCCCCTTCACCTTCCTGCTTGCTGAGTCTCTGCCTGCCTCCCATTTGGAGCACGGGCCACAAGATTCCTTAGCGCCCTGCCATGTTCCACCCACCTTGGTTCCACGTGATTTTCCTCTCACCAGCCTGTGAGCTTCTTGCATCCTGCTCCACTTTGCTGCACCATCGGTCTGCAGCTCAGTAAGTCTCCAGGCGGGGCTGGCTAGCATCCGACCAATGGGCTTAATTGAAATTGGGTTGGGGAGCTTTCTTGATATATAATGACTTCTGAATATAAAGCCCTTTCTTATACTTATTTGGGTGTCACTAGATTTGTTTCTCTAGACAACCTGACCCAACACAACTACTTTTCACTAGGTTTTCTTTTTTTCTGATTAGATTCTAACAGCTATTTGACTATTTAAAATCTAACCCATTTAAGTAATTTTGCTTCATCAGTTTATCTTTTTACTTTGTCTACATTTTTCTATATACACATTTTCTACATTTTCCTATTAGAGATTTAAGACAATTTAAGTACTGAAAGTCCATCTATTTCAGTTTTTGTCTTTTCTAAGTGACCAGTTCTATTTAATTAATGGATTCATTTATTTCTACATTTTAAAACTTCTGGATCATTAATTTATGCATCTATTATTTTGTGTTTTCTTTTATATATATTTTCAGGTTCTTGACATGGTGAAGAAATATTTACTTCAACTATTTTCATTAATTTTTGCTTAGTAATATATTTAAGGTTACAAAATTTGCTCTGAGTCAGATTCCCTTGGATATATTTTGTATGATATTTTTTGCAAAAGAAAAAAAATTAAACTTAAAATCTGTAAATTATTTTTCCAACGTCCAAGAGCTAGTAAGTCCCAGGATTGGTTTTGAAGATACAGTTCCTATACTTTATTTATAATTTACATTCCTCTTAATTCAAATAAGTGTCATTTTTTTTCACCCAATTCGTGGGTGCATTATTTTTTGTTATACTTATGATGTCCTTTATTCGACAACATAAACATTTATCCACAGGAATCATATTGACTTCATCTGTGGGACGAGACCATGAAGAACTTTAAGTCTGGGGGTCACAACAAAAGTCAGGGGCTGACTCTGCTGCAGACGATCAATTGTCGATATGTAAGTTCAATTTGAAGTTGGGAAAAATTAAAAGTCCGGAAGAGCCAAAATACAAACTTGAGTCTAACCCATCTGAATTTAGAAAATATCTCAAGAATAGCTTTAGCTCATTGAACATTGATGACACAAGACCTACGGTGCTAGGAGATGTCATAAAGACCATCATACATGAAGAAGGGGAAATGTCATTAAAAAGTCCAGAAAGGAAGAAAAGACCAAAGCGGATATCAGAAGAGACTCTGCCATTGCTCTTGAGCATGGAGCAGATAAAATAAATGGAAGCACTGATGAGGCCACAGAGCTGAACAGGACATTCCAAAGTGTAGCTCCAGAAAGCAAAGTAAAGTACTATAATGAAATGTGCAGAAACTTAGAAATAGAAAAACCATAGAGGAAGAACAGGTGAAACATATCTCAAGCTGAAAGAAATGACGAAAAACCGTCAGCCTTCATTTGAAACATTGAAAGACCTTATGTGCAAACTATTGAACAATGCAGAAAGCATCAAGCAAATATGTAATGAATACACAGTCACTAAACCAAAAAGAACTTTTTAACAGTCAAACATTTCAAGAGGTAGCATATGACTAAGAAGCATAGGTACTGAAATACCAAATGGCACTGCTTGGTAAAGTAGAAGGGCAGGGAAAAAGACAAAGTCCCTTGATGAGATGGGTCCACACAGTAGCTGCAACAATGAGCTCAGACAAAACAATTGTCAGGGCTGGGCAGTGTATCTTTCTGCTATGAATAGGTTCAACGTGAGCCAGAGCCAACTTGAAGGGCCTAACAACCAGAATAGGTCAAATGACAACTAATATCCGCTATGTCATTGAGAAATCATGCTAACCAGGCTGGGCACTAAATCCAACAACACTTTTGGAGCCTATTATCCAATAAAAATACATTGTTGTTGTTGTTAGGTGCCATCAAGTCAGGCATCTAACAACACTATGCAAAAAAGAACAAAACGCTGCATGGGGTCTGGCCATCCTCCGGATTGTTCCTATGTCTCAGCCCCTTGATTCATCACTATGTGGATCCATCTCCTGGAGGGTCTTCTCCTCCTCCACTGCCCCTCCACTTTACTAAGCATGATGCCCTTCTCCAGGGATTGCTTTCCCCTGAAAATATATCCAAAGTAGATTAAATGAAGTCTTGCCATCCTTGGCTCTAAGGAGCACTCTGGCCTTACTTCTTCCAACAGAAATAAAGGAAAATAGCTCTCCAAGTATCTAGGAGCTAACACATTTACGTAATAGAATTGCTTTGTACAAGATTAACTGTGTTACAGATTTTGGTTTTGTTTCTGTCATATGTTTTCAGATAAGAGAAAATACTTTCTCAAATTTTCAAAGGATTCTATAATATCCAAGAAATTAAAAATCACTAACCTATACATGGACTATTGCTATAGTAACCTTAAAGCTCACTTTTCTAGAATTGCTAATTAAAAAAAAATTAAACAAATAGTTATTCAAAGACAGTCCCAAACATTTTCCCTTATTGCTAACATCAACTATTAAATTGTCCTGGGAAATAGAAACTGGGTATATTCACTGAGGACAATTGTAAAAATTAGAATTATAAATTTTCAGACAAAAATAATAACAGTCACAATCATAAAAAGCATTGCATTGAGAAAACTATTTTGCAGTTTTATGTCTTTAAAAAATATTAGAAGATCTTCATTACACCAAAATATATGCAAAGTAAATGCATGGATTTTTCTTTACAGAAAAAAACATTTTGAATGGTGGAAAGAAAGAATGCGGATAGTTAAATATGGGGATCTCTGTGGTCCCCTGATATATAACTCGTATGAAGAGCCAATGCTTCTTCATTATTCCAGGTAAATTCAAAGTGAGAGCATTTCACAGGAATTTTGAGTCCCTTGAGATTCTTAAAGCAATATTTTAGCAGTCACTGTCGAAGGCAGCAAGCTCTGAAGACAAGCAATATGACTATAAAACGTTTCCAGTGGAGGGAATCATGCTAACAATCAGCCAATGATGTGCCGCACAATTTCTAGATCAGCAAGGCTATCAAGAATTCCCATAAGAACAACCCTTCACATAGGCAAGGGACATACTATTTATTGCATTTGCAAGACTTTCCTGCTAGCAGTTCGCAAAAGTAGCTAAAACAACTCTCTAATCATAACAACAGATTGTCTTTCTAATGTACAAAAGCCCATGCTAAGAGTAAAATTTTTTTAAAGTCAATTCTTTTTATTTGAATAGAAATCAATAATCTATATTGGTCCTTATCCTTTAAAAGTGCCTTTGTTCTTTCCATCTCAAATTTCACTTTCATCTAGAAATTCAACATTTTCTTCAGCATCTTCATTTCGTGCTCATCTTGGGCCCAGTCTTGCCCTCTGGGCTTTCTAGACTAATTCCCAGAGCTGTTGGAAGACACTGTGCTTCTCTATCAGCAGAAAACGGTATCATCAAATGTGTATTTGCATTCTTAGCCAGCTCAGAGAAATGCCTCAATTACATATTGTAGAACAATATTCATCCATTCAATCAAGACTTGTGACTGCTACCATCCGCCAAACATGTTCTAGATGTTTACACATATAAACAAGACAGAGACAGATTTTTATCCTCATGGCATTTGTAATCTAATTAACTGAAATAAATAATATACAAATAAATGAACATGAAAATCAACAAAAAAAGCAAATATGTAGTTAAATTATAGACTTTCTATTACATATCAAAACAGTGTGGTGCTTTGGATATAAAATTAAAAGATCTCTCCCAGTTTTGTTCCAAAAATTATTAGTGCCCAGTGGCAACCATATAAACAGATCACAATCTAGAGAATTGGCGCAATAACAACCAAATGAGTAGAAAGATGGGCTCTGTCTGATGGCTCAGGAAAAGTGCCTCCATTCATAAGCTTCAAGGATTACTTGGAGTTTCTCAGTTGATAAGGGGGAGAGGACACTCTGAGGGAAGAGGTTGCAAACCAAAGAGAAGGCAGTTAAAGGATTTGCTGTGTGCTGAAGCACAATGCACATAGAAGGAAGTGCTGTGGGTTGGAACTGAACAAGGGAGGGGACAAAATCACAGTGTTATGTGGTTGATTTCAGAGAGCTCATATTTTATCATTTCTGCATTTTAAGCATATCAAAAATTATAAGAAATAGAATAAGATGATGAGAGCTGCATTTTTAAAATATAGGGTATTTTTTAATGGTCTAAGGTGGATAGATTAGCCGTGAGTACACTAAAAGCAAGGAGACCAAATCAAAGGCTGTTACAATTCTTTATGTTAAAGTTGATCAGTGGGA